AGGGTTATAGCATAAGCCATTGGAGCTTGGTGCATTTACTTTTATATCAAGCATTTTAAGTAAATGAAGCAATATTTACTTAATGATATTAGAATGGACAAACTTTCCTCTCATGATCAAATTCTTGAAGATAGGCAAAGAAAAAGTTCATCTTTTTTGAGACAGAGTCTAACTATTTAGCCTGAATTCTCCTGCCTCACCTCCTAATGCTGAGATTACAGGCATGCTTTACCACCCACTGCTCAGAAAGTTCTCTTTAGATATGTTCACTCTTCCACTGACTAAAGAACTATTTTATTTTATTTATGTCCTCCCTCATTCCACAATTGAATTTGAACGGATGTATAAAATTACTACGGGCTTTCTTCCCCAACCTCTGGTAGAGGTAGGAGAAATGGAACTCAATGTTTTTTATTTATTGGTTTTTTTGAGACAGGATCTCACTATGCAACCCAGGCTGACCTTAAACTCAAGAGCTCCTGTCTTAGCCTCCTGGGTACTAAGATGCAGTCACACATCACTACTCTGTTTGTTTGTTTGTTTGTTTTTCCAGTGCTGAAGATCAAAACTCAGGCCTCATCTATGCTAGGCAAGCACTCTGCCATTGAGTAATACTGCCAGTCCAAGAGACTTAAAGGATATGTTAGAATGAGGATACAGGCTTATTTGCAAACACAGCAAAATATCACTGGCTAATAAGTGTACTAACTTTCTATGAGATAAGATTATTTAGACTTACTGTTGTTTACTTTATTTATCTTTAATTTTTCTGTTGTGAACCATGCCTCCCATCCATTTTGCTCTGGTTATTTGGAGCGGAGCTTCGGGAATGTTATGGAACTATTTGTCCAGGCTGGCTTTGAACTCAATCCTATAGATCTGTCCCAAGTAGTTAGGATTACAGGTGTGAGCCACTGCACCCAGCTTCAATGTGATTTTTAAAATGCTAATCACCTTAATATAATATCAAAATATGATTATTATTGCAAAGTGTTAAAAATTTGGCATCAACAATGCTCTAAAAATTATAATAATGAAAGCATTTTGTGTCTTACACAGTAAGCATTATCATTATGTAACAGTCACATCTTTTTCATTATTAGGTAAGCCGTGGGCAACATGGGTCATACAGAGTTCATCATCACTGGAAATATTTATAGCTCAGTTTTTAATTTAGAATACAAACTTTTTTTGATGATTCTATCTCAAATCTGTGTTGAAAGCTTATTGTTTTCTAATAAAAGATACTGGTATAAGGTTAGACTTAAAATTTGTACATGTATAAAACAATACAGTCTAATAAAACATAATCTAAAAGTTGAAAATTATACATACCATACCTAAGAAATGCACAACAGGTGGTGAAGTGCTTTACTCATGTGGGACTGGGGGAAGGGCCAAAGGATTAGCAGATCAGCAGAACTAATAATAGGGTGAGAACAGAGCAGCAAATAATTGAGAACAAACTAATAGGGGAATTTAGTGTACCATTAGTATAAGGCCTCAGAGTTAAATCCTTCTAGTAGTACTTTCCAAATTTCCTTGACTGTAAAACACAGCACCTGGATGAATCAGAATGGAATGGGTTTCTAACAAGCATACCTAGTAACTTCTATCACAAGGCAATCTGGGAAACACTAGATTGGGAATAAATTAGAATTTGGGTGGTGGTGGCTCACACCTGTAATCCTGGCTAATCGAAAGACTGAGATCAGGGAGATTGCAGTTTGAGACCAGCCTGTGCAAAAAAGTTCTCCAGATCCCATCTTAACCATAGCTGAGCACAGTGGCACACATCTCTCATCTCAAGCTACATGGAAACTAAGATTGACAGGATCATAGTTCTAGGCGGGCTTAAAAGTTTGCAAGACCCCATCTCAATGGTAAAAAAATAAAAATAAATAAATGAAAACAACTGGCGTGGTAGCACACACCTGTCATCCCAGCTATGGAGGAAGCATAAAATAGGGGGACTGAGGTCCAGGTAGCCTAGGCAAAAAAGTGAGACCCTGCCTCCAAATAACTATAGAAAAAGGGCTGAAGGTATGGCTCAAGTGGTAGAGTACCTAACTAGCAAGTATGAAGCGCTGAGTTCAAACTTCAGTACCACAAAAAAAAAAAAAAAAGAGAGAAAAGAACAAATTAAAGCTGGGAATGTAGCTTAATGGTAGAGCACCTGCTTAACATGTGCAAGGCCCTGGGATTGATACTTAGTACTGAAAAAACAAACAAACAAACAAACAAAAGAGTAAATTAGGAATAAAGGAGTAGTAGACAAGAAACAAGAAAGAGTAAACTCCGGTCAGGTTAAGGGTAACTCAGAGTAATTATTTTTTACCAGGGATCAGCACTTTTTCTGTAAAAGGCCACATAGCAAATATTTTAGTCCTGGGGGCTAACAAGCATAATCAAGAATATCACATAGGTACTTACATGGCAAAAGAGAAATAAAATTTCCACAATGTTTTTATTGATAAAATTCAAAATACATTAACTGAGTATAATTTTGCTATACAGGTCTGCTAATGAGCTTGGAAGGATAGCATTTTGCTTAATTGGAATTCAAAGTTAGTGTTTGCTACCATAAAAGTGAACTGTAATTGTTCATATGTTAATGCTGATCTGTGAAGAGATTTTATCTTTGAAAAATGTCTTTTTGAACCAATCTACATTGCCAATACTGATACATATACACAAACATAATCTTAAATAATCAAATTAATTACTTGATATATGGGCTGCTAAAGTGAGCATTTAAATTCATTACTTGGAAGGCATTTATAGCAGTACATTCTTTCCTTGGTATTTGCCTTTTATCATATTAATACACACAGATTAATCAGTTCCAGGTTTGGGGTAACTCAACTACACAGTTAAATGGACTAGGAAATATGGAAATTTTCTTTGCACTTGCATCAAAGTCCAAAAAACAATGCTTGGACTATAGTTTGAGATTAGAAATCCACTTTTTTCTTTTCTTCTTTTGGCATAAGGGTATGCACTGATAAAAAATGAAATGTGGTACAGTGACATATATGGTACTGAAATGCTGTCAAATTGTAACTGTCGATGCAATTAGTAGTACACTGAGCATCGATTAAGTAATGAGAGTACCCCGTGGACCTCTGGGGTTGTGTGTGTGTGTGTGCATGCGCTGTACTAGAGTTTGAACTCAGGGTCTTTTTTTTTTTTTCCTAGGCAGGTACCATACCACTTGAGCCTTGTCCCCATGAGCTCTGTTGAAACTACTCAAATCTGCCTTTGTAGCACAAAAGGAGTCACAGACAAACATAAACAAATGAGCACAACTGCTATAATAAAACTATGAAATGATGACGTTTGAATGTATTATGATTTTCACATGTCACAAAGTATTTATTATGTATTTGTTTGATTTGGTAGTACTGAGGTCTGAACTCGGCTTCACACTTGCTAGGCAGGTGCTCTACTGCTTGAGTCACCTTTTTGCTTCTAGACCTCTTTGCTGTGATTCATTTGGAGCTAGGGTCTCACTTTTTGCCCAGGCCAGTATGGACAACAATGAAATACTGATACATGCTACAACACGGATGAACCTTGAAAACATTTTTTTTTTCATTTTTCTTTTATTATTCATATGTGCATACAAGGCTTGGTTCATTTCTCCCCCCTGCCCCCACCCCCTCCCTTACCACCCGCTCCACTCCCTCCCGCTCCCACCCCTCAATACCCAGCAGAAACTATTTTACCCTTATCTCTAATTTTGTTGTAGAGAGAGTATAAGCAATAATAGGAAGGAACGAGGGGTTTTGCTGGTTGAGATAAGGATAGCTATACAGGGCATTGACTCACATTGATTTCCTGTGCGTGGGTGTTGCCTTCTAGAACCTTGAAAACATTAAGCTAAGTGAAAGGAGCCAGAAACAAAAGGCCACTTACTCTGTGATTTCACTGATATGAACTGTTCAGAGAGGTAAGTGCATTCATTAGTGGTTGCCAGGGGATAGGGAGAGGAGAGTTTAGGGAATGACTAACAATGGGTACAGGGTTTCTTTTGGGAGTGATAAATGTTTTGCTAAGGGATAATGGTTGCATAACTTTGTGAATATACTAAAAACCATTGAACTGTGTGTGTATAAGGGTGAATTTTACAGTATGTTAATTATATCTAAAAAAATTCAATTTTTAAGTCTATGGCACAATTCTGTTAAATTTTAAGTATTACAATAAGGAATTACTCTATTTCTTAGCTATAAAACAAGAGTATATTCAAGTTGTATTACATGTTGTACTTGTGTCAAAAAACTACACAAGTATTAGGAATGTGGTTCAGTGGTAGAGTACATGCTTAGCCTGGGCAAGGTCCTGGATTCAATTTCCAGCATCAAAAAAAGTCTCCAAAAACTACACAATTTTTGTTTGTGCTTTTTAGTTTGTAGATTTTATAATTGCAAAGTAGATCATTATTAAGTCTTTGGATTTTTGTTGCTATTATTGACAATTCTGTTTGTTTTAATGGCACTTTCTGAAATAATACTTAACCTGGAAAACATTGAGTATTTTCACTGAAGAAAAATAACTAGAAAATTCAGCAATTTAATAATCAGTAAGTTCCAATTTCAGCAGTTTCATTTTTAGAAAAATAATTAAGAGTTATTAAAAATCACTGTCCTATTTCAGTTACTCTGTCTATATTCCAGTCCCTAAAAACACAGTTTATTGGTTGGTTACCTCCTTCTCCTCTGGGCAGTACAGAGGTCCTGTAGGATGAAGAACAGCTTTCTGTGCATAGTAAAAGAGCTCTGATATGTTCTTCAGGTTTTTTGCTGAACACTGAAAAGGAAAGTTTTAAATTTTATACTCTGAAATCAGTTATGTCAGCCAAAACCAAGTTTTAAGGTAACAGTAAGAGTCCTTGAAGAAAATGAAAAAATAAATTTTCCTTTGTGGACATGTCAGCATCAATGTCCAAAGGAGCTTAGAAGCCTACTCGCAAGTTCTCTGCTTTATCTAGTTTACAAGTCTTCACAAAGAACAGAAATTTATTGCATCTCACATTGTTTCCCCTCCCATTCAGAATATCAAGTTAGTGAAAATTCACCAACAATAAATTTCCAAATTGAACGATGAGGCATACCTCCACACAGGTTTCTATTTCTGTATATTGGTTCATAATAGGAAGGATGGTCTCCATACTACTATATTCCACCAGATCAGATTTGTTCCCAACCAATATCAAAGGCAGCCTGAAATGAATAGTGCACAACGTAATAAGGAAGCTAAAAGACATTAGATTTTTATCTTAATTTACATCAGAACCCAATCTAACTAAAAAGCTTCAACCTCTCTAACATAAAGCCTCTACTATACTCAGGTCCAAGTGCCCTTTATATATAGGTTTATTAATTCATTCAAAACTACTTATAAAGTACCTAATAAACTACAAACTCTTCTAAGGATTAAGGGCATGAGACAGAAAATCCTTCCCCATTCTAACAAGCAATTTCCAATACAGCAGGTGTTATAAAGGGACTCAGTAGGGGGACATGAGATAAGGTAATGGAAGGGACCTAATTATACATACAATCAAGGGAAAACTTCTCTTAAGAAGGTGGCATTTGAGCCAAGACGGAATCTGCACGTGAAGACCAGAGAAGAAAGGAAAGCAAGTGCAAAGGCCCCATACTGAGAGAACATCCTGGTGCAGATGAAGAACAGGGAAAATGCCAGAATGGTGAAAATGGAGCTAAGCGGAAAGTTATAAAATGGGGATGAAGAGAGGTTCAAAGGCTACACATACAAGGACTTTAAGTTGCAGCAGTAGTGTGGGTTTTACTATTGGTGTAATTGGGAAGCCACAGGAAGGTTATGAGCAGGGGCATGCCATGATCTGATGACATTTTAAATGCAATGATTTGCTGTCTTTTAGAATACACATTAAATATTTCAGTGTGTATCTCTGAATATTTCACTATGTGTATCTCACTAAATATTTTGATATGATGTTTAGTTTGCTTCAAAATGGCCCCAACTGAAGAGGTAATGATGAAACAAGATAGACCACAAGTTAATTGCTAAAGCTGGATGACAGATATACTGGAGTTCATTACACTATTCTAATTTTTATCTGTGTGATTTTTTTTTTTAATCAAGAAAAAGCTCTTGGCTAGGCATGGTAGTACATGGCCATAATTAATTACAGCTATGCAGGAGGTGTAGATCAGGATTGTGGTGTGAGGCTGGCCCTAGGCAAAAAGTTAGTGAGATCTTATCTAGTGACTAAGTGTGTCTGTCTGTCTGTCTGTCTATCTGTCTATCTATCTACCTATCTATCTATGAACTCAGGGCCTGTCCCCTGAGCCACTCCACCAGCCCATTTTGTGTTAGGTACTTTCGAGATAGGGTCTTGAGGACTATTTGCCTGGGCTGGCTTCAAACAGCAATCCTCCTGATCTCTGTCTCCTCAGTAGCTAGGATTACAGGCATGAGCCACCGGCGCCCAGCTAAGTGTATTTATTTTAACTAATTTAAAGTTAAACTGATACAACTGACTAGAGGCTACTACATTGGACTGCATCACTTGAGAGGGTCATTCTCTGCTTTTCACCTTGTTAATAACGAACCACAAATTTTAAAACAGGATAAAGAGGAGCTGTCAGAGTTGTAAGGCACAAAGTCTCTCATGAATATGTAAGACAGAGGGTCAATGCCCACATTCATCCATTAAGAACCAAATCTTCAGAGTTTAAAGGCACAGAAGCACCCCAATAAAAGAGAAATCTAAAAAAATAAGTAAAAGACCAAAATGTGTACAATTAATAAATATTATTCTGACTTTCCTAACATTTAAAAACACTCAAATGCTTCATAAATAATTTATGTCCCATTAAACCATATTGAAGCAAAAACATTGCCAGTTTGTCTTAAAACTCAAACCATGTTTGTGCAGAACTCTCATCCTGCTCAGAAAATGACAACCTGAATGTTCTCTTGCTTTTTCCCTACTATCCATGTATCTTCCAAAGAATTACAAAGAAAACTCCCTGCATGAATTCCTAAATGCAGATCTCTAGGGATTTTTTAAAGAACTTATAAAGTGCTTATATATAAATTATTTTCATTTGATTTTCAACATAACCACAAATAGCTAAGACAGTTATTACCCTCATCCATCCTTACAGATGGGAAATCAAATGCCATCTTAGAACTCATGGGAGCCAATCAATTTCAAAGGTTTTCTCTAAGTACTACTGCTCTGACATACACCACACTATGAGCAATCAATGACCCTTGCTCACACTGTGAGTAATGACAACCTTATCACATAATACATGACAATGATATGCTCTAAAATGAAGACTTTTTCTTTTTTTTTTTTTTGACAGTACTGGGGTTTGAACTTAGGGCTTCATACTTGCTAGGAAGGCATTCTACCACTTGAACTATGCCCCAGATAATACAAAAGTAATCAAAATATTTACTGTCAGTAATTATGAATCATTATAGTATATAATAATAATAATGGTATAGTACTGGAGCTCTGCTTTTTGCTTTGCTCTAAAATATATTTGCTGCTTCAAAAGATTTCTCCCAAAAAAGGTGTGTGGGAGTATCTGGAGGTAGGTGAACAGAGAAGCAACTGATAAAGCAAAGGTGGCAAAGTGTTAACAAATGGTGGACAGAAGTGAAGAGTTTACAAATGCTCGTTATTTCCTGAATCTTTTCTGTAAGTTTGAAATTTCTGAATACAAAATTTGAGAGGAAAAAAATATACCTGCTGTCTTTGTCTGTTCTTTCATTTATGAGAGGAATCCATCGACTTGTAACCTAAAATGAAAATTAACACGAGCTAAATCATGATGCAGATCTTCTTTGAGAAGCTTTCTGTCCTTAGGTCTCTAAAATTCTAAATGAGGATTGACTCTGAAAGTGCCCCCATGGAAACCAGGCATGGTGGCACTTGGAAGGCAGAGGCAGAAGGATCATAAGTTTGAGACCAGCCTAGGCTACATAGTGAGACCCTGTTTAAAAAAAAAAAAAGTGTGCTACTGAAATTTACTTACAGTGGAAAAATAAAAAAAAGCCATGCATCCATACCTTATCAATAGAATGTTTGTTGTTAACAGCATAAACTATGCAGATGACATTGGCCTAGAAGAAAAATTAACAAATTAATAGCAATAAAAATAAAAATAGAAACAGTAGCATTTAATTATCAACCAGTTAATATTTTAGGGACAAAGGAAGAAAATGAATTGGAAAAAGAATTAAAAAGCTTGCTTATAAGAAGAATATATTCCTAAGGGCATATAGCAAAACCACACACTAAAAATTGGCAATAACAAAGAATTGAAAATTCTTGATAAATGAAAGAAGGAAAAAGGTATACTCATAGGATTATCACTGTTTCTCCTCCCCCCAAAACCCCCCACAACTATTTGTTTTAACTGACCTGTGATATTTCTTGATGAAGTTGTTCATCACTCTGTTCTGCTTCTACAAATGACAAAAAGTCAATGTTTCATATTTTAAACTCTTTCATAAAAGCTAGTAGGCTAAAAATCTATGCAATATCTATGGTGGGTTGGAGGTGTGGCTCAAGTGGTAGAGAGCTTACCTAACAAGGCCCTGAGTTCAAATCCCAGTACCACCAAAAAAAAAAAAAGGAAAATGACATGGTGTAACACTAAGCTAGTAGCAAATACAAGGGCAAGACAGGAGAAGAAAAAGTTGAACTATGATAAGAAAGCTGGCTAGCAATGAAGTCTACAAGAGGATAACTCGGGCATGGAAGGGCAGAGGCATTGTATGATGGATCTAGGCCAGCATCTGATCCACAGTTGAAAAGGGTCAGGCAAAAGAGATCAGCAACCTGAGATAGAAAATTCTCAGACAAGAGTCTATATACACAGTCTAAAGGGGCCAGAAAATCTGGGCAATACAGGCTAAAGATCTAGACAGCAAGTAGGAGTAATAACCACCAGGGCCCCGAAGGAAAACTGGAGCATGACCATGAAGAATCAAGAATTCCCTCTCTAGTACATATCACTAGCCAGAACTGCTCTCAATGGGTGGATGTTCATGTAATCCCACACGAAAAGGGTATGCGTGATAGACCCTAGGATGAAAAAGCATAGAAATGAAGACTGATGTATTAATTTAGATCACCTGAGGTTATACCCCCACTACTCTGCCAAATGCCTGTTATTTCTCATATATAAGCTAGTTCAATGATAATTTACACTATGCTAAATAACTGGCCATATCTTTAATTTCTTTCAACATGTGAACTAAGGCTTCAATTCTAACACTAAGTGAATTCAGTGCTACAGACACCGAAAAATAATTCTGTAAGTAAAGATAGTTATGAGACTAAAGCAGAAGGCAATGTCATTCTCCCTCAGCTTTTAGTACAGTGCTATCAACAGATACAATGAAAGCCACATATATATGTTAATTTTCTAGTAGTTATCTTAAAAATGAAAAGGTAAGATTAATTTTTAATAACCCAAAATATTAAATTTAAAATTTAAATATGTACTCAGTAGAAAAAATAATGATACTTCAGTAGAGCCCTCCAGTGAAGTTAGGGAGGGGATCACAAGTAGAATTCTACCAGGAAACCACTTACCCGCAACCTGGCCTGATTTTCTTCCCAAACTCTTCTACAGTGACTTGGGGCTGATTGGCTTAATAATAAGCATAATCCCTTTGGAAAGACCCATGAAGGGTAGCATGGTGAGGTGATCTTTGGACTTGGACAAGCCAAGTAAGTTTTTGTTTTGCATTTACTATGTGATCTTGGTCAAGTTGATTAAGTTCTCTAGGCCATATTTCCCCTACCCTAAAAGGAAGACAACACCCACTCCTTGGTGAGGTAAATGAAATGGAGACACGGAAGATACTTAGCACATGGTAAACTCCCAGCTCTATCAGGATGGGAACTGTGACCCTATCAGAGCAAGGTGATGGTTCCCATAGAGCTCAATCACACAAGACCCAGACCAATGAAGCCAAAATAAAACCACTGCCATTTCCCAATTTTAAAAACAACCACTTCTCTCTTTGATCAAATACAATTTATTCTTTCACTTCAGTGCCTACCATGTACCAACGGCACCCTGGAGGCTGGAAGGTATTTAAAGATAACAAAGACATATTCCTCACTTCCAGGAGCTTTCAAAAGTCTGTTTTTCTTAAAAGGAAGGCATCTGGATCATGTCAGTGAAGGGGTAACAGCAGTTTTGTTCTGCCTTGATACAGTGGCTGCTACAGGTAGTAAATTCTGTTCTGTTATTCCTGTGTACACAATCATGCTACTCATAAGTATATAATATATTCATATAAAAAAAAGTAGACACAGTGCGTATAATTTCCTAGATTTCTGGGAGGGGATGAATTTAAAAAATTTCAAAAAGAAGCCAGGCACCAGTGGCTCACACATGTAATCCTAGCTACTCAGGAGGTAGAGAGATCAGGAGGATTGCAGATTGAAGCCAGCCCAGGCAAACAGTTTATGAGAACCTATCTCAAAAAAAACCCACCACAAAAAAGGGCTGGCATAGTGGTTCAAGTGGTGACAGCACCTGCCTAGCAAGTGTGAGGTCCTGAGTTCAAACCCCAGTGCCACCAAAAAAAAAAGGCAGAAATACCTCAGCCATCTGAAATTCAAAAAAGCCTATTTAACAGAAGAAAAATTAATGAGGTATTTTACATTCTTTCTACCATACTAACACTTAAAAACATCCAGTTGTATGTTATACTTACAGCACATTTCAATTTAGAATAGTCACATTTCAATTATTCAAAGGTTATAGGTATTGGACAGGGCAGTGTTAGTGTTTCATTTTTAGAATTTATGGTATACCAATTTATCCAAACAAAGTATTTTGCACACAAACACATATATATGCCAATTAAAAAAAAAGTTCTAGATCAAAACAAAGTAATTTAATGATTAAAAAGTTAGTAGAGCCAAGTGTGGTGATGCATTTCTATAATCCCAGCTACTGGTGGGGGAGGAGGACTAGGGCAAGAAGATTATGAGTTCAAGGTCTGCCCCAGGGGAGCTTAGCAAGACCCTGTCTCAAAATAAAAATTTAAAAAGGGACTGGGGAGGTAGGGTGAAGGTTGGTAGAGATAAAAACAGGAAATGACAGAGAAAGGACCATCTCTTTCCGAACATTTATAAAAGCTTAGTAAGAACTGTTTTCAGGACTATTCAATTAACCTTAGAGCTTCATCTATAAGAGGCCACTTACCTGAATAATCTACAATGTGTGTTGGAACTCTCTCTGGGGTGACATCAGCTGGAATGGTGATTTCTTCTGCCCGAGGAGGAACCTTTGTGTGCAAACAAAAATAGAAAATGAAAAAAACTGAGGGATATTACCAAAGTTGTTTACAGATTATATAAATTTACCTATCTTTTCATCCAAAGCTGTCCTTACAAATTTGTTCTATTTATAAATGCTTATTTTTGTGCTTTACCACAGAGGCAAATATGTATTAAAACTACAATAATGCTGGATGCCAGTGGTTCATGCCTGTAATCCTAGCTACTTGGGAAACTGAGACTAGGAGGATGTCTTCTACAAACTAGTATGAGCCTTTTAAAAAGCCACAACTGCTAAAAAAGAAACAGATGGAAAAAAGGTAGAGTTTGTTTCATTTTAATTTACTTTTGATAAATAAAAAAAAATCTTAAATATGAAAAAGAAATCAAAATGTTTACCTCTTCTGGAAATTCTTCACTGACCAGAGACATAATCAGTGACGTTTTTCCAACTCTAGCTGTGAAAAGAAAAATCATTACTTTAACAAAGAGTTTAGGTTCTACATAAGCTCAAATGCAGCAACCATACAGGGAAGTCTGTTACTTATTATCAAAAATGGAAAGCATTCAAATTTAGTACAACACATAAATAATAAATAACTAATGTCCCTGCATTAGTTTTTGAGTGCTGCATGGCTCAAGAGATAGAGCACGTATCTAGCAAGCTCAAAGCCCTAAGTTCAATTATCAGTACCACAGAATTTATTTCATGATGTAATTTTTAAAATTTTTCTTTGAGACACTCGCTATGTAGCCTAAGCTGGCCTTGAACTCACTATGTTGTCCATGCTGGCCTGGAACTTGTTAACCTCGTGCCATTAACTCCCTGGGTGCTGGGATTACAGGAGTATACTCTATGCCCAGCTATGGATGTAAATTAATTAACATTCCTAACAATGAACTTTGGTTTTTTTCTAAGTTTTTACTTTTATAAATAATGCTGTTGAGCTGGAGAAGTGGCTTAAATGGTAGAGTGCCTACCAAGCAAGCATGAAGCCCTGAGTTTAAATCCCAGTACCACCACTACCACCACTACTACTACTACTAATAGTAATAATGATAATGCTATAGTTAGTATTTCTACAGGATAAAATGCTTGAAGTGGATCTCAAGTTAGCACATATGACTTTTTCTTGTTTTTTTTTTTTTTTTTCTCGTGGGACTGTGGTTTGAACTCAGGGCTTCATGCTTGCACACCTCCAGTCTGTTTTACTCTGGGTTATTTTGGAGATGAAGCCTTGAATACTATTTGCCTGGGGTGGCCTCAAACCATGATCCTCCAGATCTCAACCTCTCAAGTAGCTAGGATTACAGGTATGAGGCACAGGCACCAGGGAACCTGTTTTGTTTTTAATTGGTATTTTTTAATTACCTCCAAAAAATAATAAATCCATTTATATCCTCAACAGCAGAATATCAGAGTGCCTATTTTCCTATATCTCTATTTTTTTTTCTTTTTTAGAGTTTTATATTTAAAGGGTTAGTAACTGTTGGGTGCTGGTGGCTTGCACCTGTATCATAGCTACTTGGGAAGCTGAGATCAGGAGGATTTCATTCAGTTCAAGGCAGGTCTGGGCAAATAATTCAAAATAACCAGAGCAAATTGGGCTGGAAGTGTGGCTCAAGTGGTTCAGTGCCTGCTATGAAATTACAAAGCCCTAACTAAGTTCAGGGCTGGCGGAGTGGCTCAAGATGCTGCTATAGAGCTTGCCTAGCAAGCGTGAGGCCCAGAGTTCAAACCACAGTGCCACAATTAAAACAAAAAAAAAAGCCCTAAGTTCAAATCCCAGTCCTGCCAATAAATATATAAACAATAAATAAATGGTTAATAACAAGGTAAAAACAGAGAAATTTACCAATACATTTTCTATTTTAGTAATTTTTTTAGTACAAAAACTTTAAAAATCTTAATCTTTATTCTGAAATTTGACTTCTGTTTCCATAACTTTTCTGGTCATATAATTATTCTTATTAGATATCCAACTGCTTATCAACTAAATTCTTTTGTGATTCTAGAGGAAAACAGTTCACTTGCCCATTAGTTTCTGTATAATAGCAAATTATGATGCCTACAAATAAGGTCTAAATATGAAAGAATGGAAATTTTTAGAACTAAGAACAACCATAGAACCTTCCTAAATAATTAAAATAAAGGGTGAACTGAAAACACAAGTCAAGTCTCTGAGAAAATAATCAATAGCTAGAACAAGGAAGGACAGTACTGGTCGAAACAACGCAGAGGGTACATGCTGTGACCAAATAAGTATTGCTGTGGAGGGACAGCCTAGGCAGTTTAACAGGTGTTTCCTAGCTCTGATTTCTACTGATCTTTTCAATTGACTTGTATCAAAAAAAGGTTTGGGCCTTTTCAAGTGGCTGACAATAAGGTATTATTTCACCAAATTCAGACCATGACATTGGATCTGGAGCCCTCACAGAACTGTTAGACCTATCCAACAATACCTGGTTACTTGACTCTCCACAAAATTTTCAGATGAAGGACCCAGAGACAGTGATTTTCTCAAGATCTAACTAAAATATTAGTTGCAGATTTAAGAGAGTAACCTATCTCCTGAAGACCAGAGTTTTTCTTATGCCACACCTTTAAAAATATTGCTGTTGGTCCCTGGGGGCTCATGCCTGTAATCATAGCTACTCAGGAGGCAAGATCAGGAGGATCATTGTTCAAAGCCAGCCTGGGCAAATAGTTCACGAGACCCTATCTCGAAAAACCCTTCACAAAAAATAGGGCTGGTGAAGTGGCTCAAGGTGAAGGCCATGTTCAAGCCCCAGTACTGTGAAAAAAAAATATATATATGTATATGTATTGCTAATACAAGCTAATAATATAGAAAGAAAATGGCAACTCCTAATGTCAGCATTCATCCTGTACACAAACAAATACTGCATAGGTTAATTAAAAATCTACTGATTCATTGGTGACTAATCAGTAGCCCTGGCTCAATTTTACTTTTTTTAAACTTATTTGAGATAATTTCTTGTGGAGAGCAGAATATGAAAAACCTGTCAGAACTGGACATAAGCAAGGTGAGATTTGGTTTAATTGCTTTCATCTGTAGCCTGAGATAGGCACAGCCCCGGTCATGAAACAGAAAAAAAGCAGAACAGCTGCATCTCCTAAGTTTACATTCAGAGAAGCAGGAACAAGGTTTTTCCTGTTACAATGTCCGCCCCTCCCTGAGAGCCTCTGCTCCACCCTGTTCTCTGCTGTTTATAAGGCCTGCTGAAGGAGGGCTTGGGGCTTTTTGCTTTTTGCCTTTGGCGGGCTTTTGGGGCTTGGGTTTTTGGGGGCTTTGGCTTGATTCTTTTGCTTTGGGCTTTTTGGTGTGGGGAGCTTTTGGAAGGGAAAAGAATTACTGAAGTGAAAAGAATTGTTAAAGGGAAATTGCTGAAGGGAAAACAATGGCTAAAGAGGGGTTGATAGAAAGTCTGTACCGAGAGCTTTAACATAGGCCTTAGAAAAGAAAGCCAAAGAAAGAACTTTAACATAGGCTTTAGAAGCTAGAGAAAAGCCAAAGAGAACATGGGACAGCGCAAGATTGAGGACCAAGACTTTGCAAGTCTGAGCATCAAGGCATTAAGAAGGCTAAAGAGAGAATACTAAAGAAAAGCTGCGGGGTAAGGGAGGGGGTGGAGGGAGGGGGGAGAAATGACCCAAACATTGTATGCACATATGAATAAAAAAAAAAAGAAAAGCTGCAAGCCTAGGGCAAAAGACTTTAAGAGAAATTAAGCTAAAGATAAGCTAAGAGAAAACATGGGACAGAGCAAGTCTCAGGAAAGAGGTTTTAAGCAAGGTTTTAAAGAACTGCAAAGGAGTAAGGCCTTAAAGAATAAAGATAGAGAAAAGAAGCAATGAGGGTTGGGCTTCTCCACCCGGGCACCCAACACACCTGACCCCACTTTCTCTCTATCCTGTGTCTTTTCTGAATCTCCAGTTGCCCCCAGTTAAGCCCAGTTAGGTTCAGTAATAACCAGGATGGAGAGAAAGGCTCGTTCTAACAAAGAAGGGAGCGAAAAACAGTGCCCCCTCCAATTTCTGACAAATCTTTTAGTACAAAGGTCTATTCTTTACCCAGATTCACTACATGTTTACATTTTACTGTTATTTGCATTATCATTTGTCTGCTGCCTCTCTAAATATTTGTACCTATTACGTGTGCATACATGACCTTTTTTTTTCCTTTTTTTGTAACTGTCTTGTAGCTGCTTCCCACAGATCTAAGAAACAGTTCTGTGTGTGGCTACAGTACAGAAGCCCCCTATCAAATAGACCTCTACTATATATAACCATTTGATGTTAGGTTTTTTGGTTGTTGTTTGGTTTTCTTTGGCAGTAATGGAGACTCAACTCAGGGTCTCGAGCTTGTTCTACCACTTGAGCCATTTCTACCAGCTCTATATGACCATTTGAGAATAAACATATCTTAGTGTACATTTCCTAAAAGCAAGCTGATTGTCTTATATAAAAAAGTATTTTGTCAGGAGTGGGAAGTTAACCACAAATACAATACTCTTATCCAGTCCATGGATCTTACTCACATCATGTGCCCACCTTTATCCTTTACAGAAAAGGGAAAAATATCTTTTCCTGGGCTAGGATCAAATGTTGTATTTGATCGTTATGTCTCCTCAGGCTCCTTTAATTCTGGAAATACTTTGTACTCTTTTGTCTTTCATAACCTGAGCATTTTTTAATGTTTCTGCATTTTCAGCAGGATTACTCCTGAGGTTATATTGTGTCCCTCTCAGTGCATCACAGCAGAAAGCAGATGATGACAATCTGTCTTATGGCTGTTGTTGACGATCACTTGGGTAGTAAGGTGATGTCTGCCAGGCTTCTCCAATGAAAAATTATTTTCCTCTTGTAATTAATAAATAGCATGTGAGGAGATGCTCAGAGACTATGTAAACTTAAATTTTTAACCTGCTGGTATTAGCACCCACTGGTGATTCTTGCCAGAAAAAAACATTGCTACACTGGTTGCTAGATAATGATTTTCTATTTCTATCCATACTTCTACACTACTTCAAATTCTACTGTAAGGAAAAACTTTCCTTCCTGATTCATATATATCTATATCTATGTATGAACTCACAGATTTCAGTGCTATTTTATGAGTAAGAATCCATAACTGTCATTACTTGGAGGCTCAAACTGCAACATTTTACTATTTTTGATGATACCGAAGTTTGAACTTGGATCTCTACCAATTGAGCCACTCTACTGGCCCAACTGTTTTTCTTTTTTGGCAGTACTGGAGATTGACCCTAGGGCTTTGTGCATGCTAGGCAAACACTTTATCTGTTGAAACATGCTTCCAGCCCTTTATTGTTTGTATTTTTTTCTGAGATAGGGTCTCGATAACTTTGCCTGGGCTGGCCTCTAACTCAGGATCCTCCTGTCCTACCTCTTAAGTAGCTGGAATTACAGCTG